ATTCTTCATAACCTCTGAATAGTGACTGACCCAACGGGTCACGGTGGTCTAGTATATTGTTGAAAATCCAAGCTCCTTTCGAATTTATATACTGTGGTTTAATTGCTATTGGTTAATAGCTGGAAATGTAAAATATATTATTTCTTATATAATACATGCATGCAATGATTCCAAAACAGTAGCCCCCCAGTGGCACATTGGTATGTCTGTGGACATATACTGCTAGCAACAAACAAACAAACAATCCAAAACAGTAAATGGAGTTAATATGATGTATTTCCATAATTCTGAAACAAGAAAGGTTATCCTTTAGTTTTATTCTCACGAACACTTAATAAAATGAAATGAAAAAAATTTAAATAGTCGCTGGGTGTTCTGTTCATATAGAAACATTTAAGGACTTCTTGGCTCAAGGCATGAAAAACTACCTGAACTACAATAAAATGGAAGTTTTTTTGATAATTATAAATATAAATTCATAAAGATATTACTGAGTAAAGATAACGACATGATGCGTGTTTGAAACCAATGGAAACTGAATTGCTACACTGGATTATGAACCGTATATTAGTGAGCCTACGGCATAATAATGTATTCATCTTAAGACCCCTTAAATGATACATATATCAGGTAAAGCTTTACTTATATACCAAAAGGGGACACGGTGTTTGAGCGAATAAGAGTAAATGTGGATTAAAACATAAAAATGAGACGTTTCTTTCATGTTTTAATATTTATTTTTACAAGTTTTCGATTACAATTTCAGCAATAGTCTTTTAAATTTTATATACGTTTATTAAAAATTAAGATAATGATACATTAAATGAAATATCTTATAGCTGCTGGGTATTTGGATTTTTTAGCCTGTATGTTTTTTTCATTTAGCCCTCCGCGTAAAAAGAAAAGAAAAAAAAGAAGAAGACATGCCACGTAATATTACTATCTTTCATCAGGGTTTAATCTCCGAATAGTCATTTCAAAATTATAACTATTCATTGAAGGAATCCGAGTACAAGCTGTGAAGTGATTGCAACGATCATATATTTATATATTAAGGGTGTTTCACATCATTTATAAAATAAATCAATTGTTATTGAGGGCACCTCAGAATTTTGTTTATTTTGATGAAAAACACCCATGAAAAATAAATTTCGGCGAAATAAAATGAACTTTAGGGGTTGCTACCAGACATTAACTTTTTTGCTCCTATCTCATTTTAATCGCTTCGACAATTTAGAACGTTAGGGTTACAGAAACACAAACAAAAACAAACTTTGTTTTTAAACTCCTTACAAAATGTAGGTAGATGTATCTTACAAACTGTAGGTAGATGTATCTTACAAAATGTAGGTAGATGTATCTTACAAAATGTGAGTAGATGTATCTTACAAAATGTAGGTAGATATATTTTACAAACTGTAGGTAGATGTATCTTACAAAATGTAGGTAGATATATTTTACAAACTGTAGGTAGATGTATCATACAAACTGTAGGTAGATGTATCTTTGTATGATACATCTACCTACATTTTGTATGATACATCTACCTACATTTTGTATGATACATCAACCTACAGTTTGTATGATACATCTACCTACATTTTGTATGATACATCTACCTACATTTTGAATGATACATCTACCTACATTTTGTATGATACATCTACCTACAGCTTGTAAGATACATCTACCAACAGTTTGTAAGATACATCTACCTACATTTTGTATGATACATCAACCTACAGTTTGTATCTGTAGGTAGATGTATCTTACAAACTGTAGGTAGATGTATCTTACAAACTGTTGGTAGATGTATCTTACAAAATGTAGGTAGATGTATCTTACAAAATGTAGGTAGATGTATCTTACAAAATGTAGGTAGAGGTATCTTACAAAATGTAGGTAGATGTATCATACAAGCTGTTGGTAGATGTATCTTACAAAATGTAGGTATATGTATCATACAAGCTGTTGGTAGATGTATCTTACAAAATGTAGGTAGATGTATCTTACAAGCTGTAGGTAGATGTATCTTACAAACTGTAGGTAGATGTATCTTACAAGCTGTAGGTAGATGTATCTTACAAACTGTAGGTAGATGTATCTTACAAACTGTAGGTAGGTGTATCATACAAAATGTAGGTAGATGTATCATACAAACTGTAGGTTGATGTATCATACAAAATGTAGGTTGATGTATCATACAAAATGTAGGTAGGTGTATCTTACAAACTGTAGGTAGATGCATCTTACACACTGTAGGTAGATGTATCTTACAAAATGTTCAGATTGATCACTTCCCTAGCATAGGTTTTTGTCGATCAGAGTATTTTTCTCGTTTCTTGTCAGAACCTTATTATGCTCTTCTATTAATGGTACTCCTCGTTCGGTAGTATCATTTACGACCTTCATACACTGAACAGTGCGTTTAACAATAACAGAGTTATATGTGCTATCATTAGGCCACTCTTTCGCATCTTTATTAAGAAATAGTGTAGATAACTCAGTAATGTCAAAGAATTTTCGTCCATTAGAGGTAACAAATTCTTCCAAATTTTTCTCTTTCATCAGCACCGAAGAGTCTAACTTTGAAAGTTTCATTGGATACTTATTTCTTTGTTTCTCCAAAGTCTCTACCATTTTAAACTTCATGTCAACAGGGATATCGTCATCAAAGAATGAAAGTGCGACGAACTCCTCCGATAAATACCACAAATGATCCAAAAAATTCTTTAATGCAAGAGATATCTTCTCATTCCTTTCTTTATATCTCTCAAGGTTTTTCAATAGGTAAAGATGTTGACGATGAGTAGAAACTCTGGCAGTTGTTGTAAACCATGCCTTTACATACAACAACAACATCTTTCAATACTTTCTCCGCTTTGTTGGTTAATTTGAATTGACTCTTAAACATCCATACTTTGAAGGAATAAATGACTTTGGCTATCTATCTGGCACGATGAAGATCTACTGGAGCTTTCAAAAACATTCCCTTGACAAGTATTCCTTCAAGGAATTTAATGTAGACTCTAATAATTCTGGATAATCGTCTCGAGGCTGAATCTTTTCTAACTGATCAAATGCAAACGCCATTATTTCATCTTTAACGCAGTAACTTCACGAACAGCAAATTCATCACTTATTGCTGTATGTTTGTTTGTTTGTTTTTGAATTTCGCGCAAAGCTACACGAGGGTTATCTGCGCTA